TTTCTCGATTTTATTTCATTCTCGGTTTAAATATTTTTTTCTTTTTCCTTTCCATTTCAAATATTAAGAATTATTCAAAAATTAAAATTAAAATATTATTATTTAATCGATATTTAGTCGATATTTCGAATATAAAAAATAAAAATTTAAAAAAACGAATAAAACTTCGATGCAAAGAATAATCGAATAACCGAATATAAATATAAAACTTTCGTTTGCTTATTTATTTATTCTCCACGCAATTTTCACTTTATTTTTATTCTCGGAATTCGTTGGAATGTCTTATCTCTGTGATACGCTCTATATCCATTGGTTATACATCCATTCGCATATTCAAGAATATTCAAGAATTAACGCTTTCACGATTTGCGAGAAATTGTTAAATACGGTTAAATACAATTATACAAGATTATATTTATATAAAATATTGTAAAACGGAATTAATAATTTCGCGCGGCATCGTCCACGCATTATAGTTTTGAAAAAGAAACGATGAAAATACGTTCGATCGATATTCTGTAGTCTTGTCCTGTGATCATGTGCAAATGTGGACAAAATGTAATAAATAACGGGAGAGAATAGAAATAAGATAAAAATTTTTATATCATTTCTTGAATGCATTGATCACGTTTCTTTAAAGGTTAAAGAATAAAGTAGAGTATCGATATGAATGTATTGTTGAATTTCGTTCTTATATAAAATCATGTAATCGTATTTGTTTTTTTCATATATTGTTTCCATTCCATTTAATATAATCATCTAAAATGAGAATAAAGTGAATCATTCAAAAATTGTTGTCGTAATTTTACTTATTTGCATTTACTTACTACGGATAGATATTTTAAAACTTTTGCTACTAAACATACGGAAAATCACTATTGTCGATAAGTTATCGACTGAGATCGATAATACAGCGAACGATAATAAAACAATTATTGACCAGTCAGTTTTTCTTGATCGTTTATATTATACATTTTAGAAATTGTGACTTTTCAAGAACGTTTAAACATATTGAAAGGAAGATTGCATGAATCGTTGAATGATTTATTTTTTATTGAGAAATCTATAAATCGTAATATAAATACTGTAACGAAATAATGAAGAAATAATTCGCAAAGTCATCGTTTCCTCCCGTAAGTTACGTTGTGCATTTTTTTCTTTCGTCGCAAAAATTATTATGATTATTATTTTATCGATATCTATTACATATCATTTTGTGTATATTCGAAAAATAGAATGGATATGGATGTAACTAAAGAAAATTTCACTATAACTTTTACGAACACGCGTCAATATCGTGAATAGAGCGGGATTTTAAAGGTTGAGTGAGCAGACCGTAGTAAATTCGAGTACGATCGTTGGATGTAACCTGCTGGAAGGTTCAGTGATGCCGTATTGCGTGAAGCGTTTGGATTTCGAGTTGGAAAGAGAAAGGTCGAATCGCGCGTTATGGCTGACGAAATCGAACGGAAATTGTTGGAACAGGTGAAGGAACAAGAAGAACTTGTACGAAAACTCAAAGCTGCCAAAGCCAACGATGTTCAGGTATGATTCATTATTTTTATTCGTTATGGAAATTATTGTTCTTTTTTTTTTTTTTTTTTTTTTTTTTTTTTTTTTCCATTAATTTCTTCATGCGACTGAAGCCCTCTGACGATACCTTCTGGTAAAATCGATGCTTTTTGCCTCCATGTGGCTCTTTGCATTTGGGAATTATTCGAACGTTTATAGTTTTAATTATTATTCGTGACGAATAGTTTTTTACGATCGATTTATCTTTAAATTTGTATTTTTTTCTCGCGAATAAATGTATCTGTTTCTTCTGTGATGAACGATATTTTGTCTGTACTTAACCTCTATCAGAGAGACTATAGTACATTCGGTTTCTATCCTTTAGGATGCAACGAATTTCTCGATCTTAGAAACGCAATTAGAGAGCATTAACCATGATTTTGCGGATGTCAGTTACGTGTGTGGTTGGATTCCTACCATAAAAGATACGAAATTTTTTGATTTTTGCGTCACTTTTATCGATGATCAACTACTCTCCAAGTGGCCACATTTGAAAAGATGGTTCACAAATATTCAAAGCTTCGACCAAATTGAACGTAACATGTTTCTCGAACCGAAAGAGTCGATTACCTCTTTGGTGAGAAAAGTCGATCACTTAAGGAACCTTTGCCTCTTCGACAGAAATGTGATTGATTTAAAGGTGAGGCGGTTGTTCACTGGCAAGCAAAATACCTATAAATTATATAAATATATATATATATATTATATATACGTATATATACTTGATAAAATTGGTTCTGTTTCGATCGACACTTACCATATATATTGCGTCGAATAACGTCTCTCTGTAAAATGTTTTAGCTCGAGAAACGATATTCGATCTTGCATATTTGAAAATAACAATATTGCGTGAACCATGTAATTTATAGCATTTGCTTGCTAGCTCACTTATATGGTACTGTTTGTTCTTTCGGCTAGTTTAATAATCAACATTGAGGCGGACTTTTCTCTTTCATTCTGGTTCTTCTTTTAAATCGATGGATCATTTATGATGTTGTGTTCGATGTGGACCAACGCCTTCCTACCTGCACGAAAATATTGCCATGCATCGATGCTTTCGAGGCTAAAGGTATGACAAATTATACAGGAAATTATCTTTGATGAACAACGAATAAAAAAAAAAAAACCGTACTAAATATGTCCCACTTTAAATGATAATTCAAGATTTCTTTGTTAAATCTGCATTGATTGATTTTTATTTTGTGTAGATTGCGGAGGAAGTTACCAAATTATCGGAGTTGAAAGCTCAATTGGGAAATAAGAACGAGATACCTTCCAAACTTGTTCTTAAAACGCCTAAAGGTACTAGGGATTATGGTCCTGAACAAATGGCGCTACGGCTTGCGGTATTGGATAAAATAGTTACTGTGTTCAAAAGGCACGGTGCGGAAACTATAGATACTCCTGTATTTGAATTGAAAGTATGTAAGAACTGTAAATTATAATCTGTAATTGTTAATTTTAAGTAAACGTTTATCATTAATTTTTTAGGAAGTTTTAACGGAAAAGTATGGAGAGGATTCCAAACTGATCTACGATTTGAAGGATCAAGGTGGAGAAATTTTAGCTCTTAGATATGATTTAACCGTACCTTTTGCCAGATATTTGGCTATGAGAAAAATCTCTTCCATCAAGAGATATCATATAGCGAAAGTTTATCGAAGGGACAATCCATCCACGACAAGGGGTAGATACAGGGAATTCTATCAATGTGTAAGTCTAACGATGCGAAATGTAAGACGTCGCGTATTGTCTTTATCATCTTATCGAATTGAGAAATATGTCGTTGATTTTTCTTTTCTTTTTCTTCTCGGTCTAAGGATTTTGATATAGCTGGACAATACGATCCTATGATACCAGACGCGGAATGCATTCGCGTCATTTCTGAAGCGTTACAGTGTTTGAATGTGGGACCTTACACGATCAAATTGAATCATAGATCGTTATTGGATGGTATATTTGCTACTTGTGGCGTTCCAAATGATAAATTTCATGCTGTGTGCTCGTCTATCGATAAATTGGATAAGAATTCGTGGTCGGAAGTGAAACGTGAGATCGTTGAAGAGAAAGGTTTGAGTGAATCGAGCGCTGATAAGATTGGCACTTATGTGTCGCAATCTGGTGGAATGGAATTGATATACGAATTAAAAAAAGATAATGAATTAATGAAACACGAATCTGCGGTAAATGGTCTTGAATCCATTGAATTGTTGTTCAAGTATTGCAAAATATTCCAAGTGACGGATAAAATAATTTTTGATCTTAGTCTTGCCAGAGGACTCGATTATTACACTGGTGTAATTTTCGAAGCGATATTGACTGGTAAGTTTTCAGTAAGATTTTCGTTTGAATCGAACGAATTTTGTTAAATCGATGAATGTTATTTATGATTCCTTTAAAAATTTTTTTCTTTTTCCAGGCGATGAAGTTGGCGTTGGTAGCGTCGCGGGCGGTGGCCGTTATGATAATTTGGTAGGAATGTTCGATAAAAAGAAATCGATTCCTTGTGTCGGTTTGTCATTGGGCGTCGAACGTATTTTCAACGTTCTAGAAACGAAATTAAATCATGAAAGCGTGAAAACGCGAACCAACGAAGTTGAAGTATTTGTAGCAACTGCACAAAAAAATTTGTACGAAGAAAGAATGAAAATCTTGACAATCCTTTGGGATGCTGGAGTGAAAGCCGAACATTCTTACAAAAGAAACGTAAAATTGCTCGCGCAATTACATCACTGTGAAGAAAGTGGTATACCGTTGGCTATAATAATTGGTGAAGGAGAATTGGCGAAAGGAGAGGTTACGTTAAGAGATGTTGTGTCTCGTGTAGAAATTTCGATTCCGCGTGCACATTTAATCGATGAAATAAGGAAAAGATTATAGAAAATATATTACGACTTATTTTCGAACAAGTTTCTTAATTTATATAGTAATTAAATGATATAATACCATCGACAATTGTTTGATTTTTTGTAAAATATAGAATCACACATTTTTTTAACGATATTGCACGATATCTTCGTTTCAAGTTCAACGTACGAAATAATAAAAGAAAAAACAAAAAAAGTGTGGAAAGCTTCTGTGTAAACTAAGTAATAATAATACATAATTTATTGTATTTGTATGAGCGTTCGAATTCGTATTATTTCAATGATCATTAACAATTACTATATATCTAGCTTTCAAATATTCTTCCGCGCAAAAACAATGTTTCGTGATAATTTAAAATTTATTTTCGTTTTTGATTGTTTCGTTTCGAGTGGTTTGAGGTGAAGAGGTGAAACAAAAAACAAAAGCGAAAAAGAAAACGTTTCTCGTAAAATTTTAGTATATCGATGATATAGCAAAGAAAGAGTAATCGATCTACCTATTTTATATATATTTTTTTTCTTCGAATCCAACTTATTTTTAAATTCTTTAAATTCTTAAAGTTATATTAATTTATATATATTATTATTTATTTTTATGAAAGTGACATGCCGGGAACGGTCACGGGCGATTAAATTTTTATACAACGTAAGTAAATACTTCGTATTGTCGTATCTCTGTGATGTATCTCGTGTGCTGTTCGAAATTTATTATTTTTTTCACTCGAAAAAATGATGAAAGAGAATCCCAGAATTAATTATATCGAAAATGAATACGATTTGCGATTGTTCCGATTATCGTCCGATTAATAAATGCGTTTTATGAACGAAAACTATGTGTCACGATTTATCGATAGGCAAGTGTGATTTATGCTTCTCGGTTTTGAACTCTGCAAGAGAATCTAACGAATGATGCGAAGAAATATCGGATGTAACTATTTTAAACGGATCAGAAATGATATTTGTACTGGGATCTTCTATTTTTACTTCCATCAATGGTTCCTGTGATTCTGCTCCGACATTAGCGAATAAATTATATTCAGAAATAGAATTATCAGTGAAAGAATCATTCGATGATACTCGTTCTTTTGTAGTTATTCGAGAATCGTTGCATAAAGTTGATTCTATTCGATCGCTTAAACGAGAATTAGATATACATTCGTTCGAACGATCATCGACATTCTCGATAGGAATTGTGTGTACGATCGAATGTGATTGAAGTGGATCGATGATTCGTACATTCTTTTCCTCGAGACGAACAGAATTCGTAGAAATAATTTCTTGTGAAAGTGGTGAATATCGTTCCGAATTGGAAACCAAAGATGTAAGCTGACCCGAATTTTCGATCGATGGTACAAATTCATCGGTTTTAGAATTTTTACAAATTGTATCGTGATTATTTTTTTTATAAATAATATTGGATGACAAATGAAAAGGTTCGGTTCTTTCTCCGTGATCTTCGATATGAACGTCGCTCAAACTGAACGCTCTAGCTCGACGTCTAAGATTCATTTGACCAATTTGTCGTTGCAATATACCAGCTTTCCAACGAGGTGCAACTTTTTGCGTAGAAACGTTAGAAGTGTTACCTCCTTTTAAATTAACATTCGGATTTTGAGTTGGTCGTAACGAGAAACGACGATCGCTCGAGGTTGATTTTATCGGTGTTGAAAAACCTGGTGTTCTCTCTGTTAGAATAAGAGGTTCTTTAGGGGATTCGAACAAAAACGTTGACTTAGTTTTCTGAAAATAAAAAACAAAAAAACAAAATAAAAGATTATTTTTAAAAAAAAAAAACGATAAATTTTTTTTTTTCTCTCGAAATGAACTGACCGATAAGAATGGCGAGTCATTTTTTGGAGGCGTCGGTGGACTGATAGGTGTTGCTACAGGTCTCAAAGAAAATCGTCTCGATTTGGCAGCCATAGTAGGATGAGCAAACGCTAAACTACCTCTTCTCGATTCTCGTCTTGTTGTTTGAAACCAAGGTAGTTTATCTTCGTTCCAGTTTATATTAGATTCTTGCGTAATAGTATTTTGATTACTTTGAGTGGTTGATACGGGTGGAGATGGTGAAAATAAGGTAAACAAGCTAGGAAGTTTTGGCGGTGTTAAAGAAGCAGTGCCTAATTTTCTTCGAGGTTGATCACGACGAATTTGATCTTCGTTCGTAGCAGAGGTCCAATTACCGTTGTTGGTAGCAACGCTAGCGTGAAGAACGGTAAGAGCTCTCAAAAAATCGGCCAAACTGGTCTCTTCGAGTAAATTATTATTAACATTGTTATTAAAATTGTTAGCCGCACCGGTATGCGTGTAATAATATCTTCGTGGATTTAAATTGGTCGGGATCGATTCTCGTCTATCGTCGATCGACAAAGATGCTTGTCCTGCCAAGTCTTTACCGTTAATATTGCGATCGAATTCGGAGATTTTTTTTTCCGAACTTATCGAGAAACGATTTTTCCAAGGGCCGGACGAGATCAATGCCTTAGGAACGTTTTTTGTTAATGCAAAATTCCGAAGTTTAGAAAATTTGGTATCTTTAACGTCACGTTCTTTGCCCGATGATTCGTTTACACGGGATTTCATCAATTCCTGAATCTTTCTAGCCGCTGTTGGTCCGGACCAAGTTCGTTCGATGTTTCGATCCTCGTTTTTCGTTTCCTGTATTCTAATTTCACTGGCCGCTCTCGAACGAGGTCTTACGAATCGCGGTATCTTTTCATGCCCGATTGTCCAGATCCTAGAATTGGACGCGTGATTCGATTCTCTTTCCAAAATCTCTTTATTCTCTTCAAGTTTGTCATTGTGATATCCAACTTGTTCCTGGCCAATATAAGTTGTCTGATTTGAACCATCGGCTCCCATATCTTCGGTAGCTGGCGGTATATAACCAAGAATATTCACCAATCTTGCCAACAATTCTGCTGGTTGAACCATTGCATGAGTTGCGAATGTTGCTGTTTTATCGATTCTTTGAAGATCGGTTTCAGAAACGACGCGCGTTACTTGATTTTCCTATCGAATGATCCAAAAAAAATTTAATATATATATATATATATATATATATATATATGAGATCGCTTATTTTAATTTTAAAATTAGAAC